CTTTTAAAAACAGGCAAGACTTGGGCTGGAGAGCTGGCTCAGCAGTTAAGAGCATGTACTGCTTTTGCAGAGGCCCCTGTTCTGTTCTGAGTTCCCACATGGTGGCTCAAAACAACCCATTACTTCAGCTCTATGGGATCCAACACCCTCTTCTGATCTCTGTTGGCACTAGACATACATGTGATTTGCATATATACATGTGAGTAAATTACGGGTGCACATATAAATAAAAAACCTTAAAAGATGAAAATAAAATAAAAGCAGGGCAGAAATATTTTATGTGTCTAATCTCCACATACAGGTCCCTACAGCACAGCAGAGCAATACAGGAAGCGAGCACTGAATGGTCCCTAACCACACAAATAAACACACTGCTCTTGCACCTGCCAGGTAATCCTATAAGGGGGAAATCAGGCAGCCCGAATCAGAGCTATGAAGACTGAGGATGACTTGACTCATCAGCTAGAGTGGAGGGGCGAGGGAAAGACTCCTGAGGATGAACCACTTGTAGTCACTTTCCGGGTCTCTCTGTTTTCCGCTTTTGGAGAACACATTTCAGAAAACAATGGCTTCCCCGAGCCTTCTATTTTAACAGAACATCTAAGCTGTAGGAATTCTAATCAAAGGTTGAAACCACCAATTTATTTATTGCTGGAGCAAACTGAATGGGGTTTAGAATTACAGGTGGTTCTGAGCTCCATCCTGGTTGAATTGAAACCGTTTAGATAAACAGAAGAAAATGATTCCTTCTGCAAAAATAGGAAACATTCATAGAAAAATATAATCCGGATGTAGCTCGTCAGTGTGAACTATGTCAGTAATCATTTTAAACTATGCCCTTTCATGATCCCGCTGTCTCCTCCTGCTCTCTGAGTAGGTCTTTGATGTAACAAAGACAGTTTCAGACAAGATTTCAGTTCATCTGGAAAAAAAAAGGTTTAAGTCTGGAGGCAAAATGCAGTGTATTTAAAATTTATACAGTCCATAACGTCTTTGTTCTGAACTTGAAGATCCCGCAGAACTTGGGAGCTCCCTCACCCTCCGTCTCTAAGCACATTCCTTCATCCTCGGCTGATTATCCGGCCACGGCGGCTTTAGCAGGTGCTTCCACCATTTAACTACATGCAGAGTCATGGCTGGCCCCTTCTGATCAATTGCCAATCCATACAGGTTTGACTGATAAAAGAGCCAATTAGATTTAAGCAAATTAAGGGACATCACCAATGTCAACCACTTATTAAACTGAAGACCGAATTCCATGCATACAAAACACAGATGCCCTGAGCCCCATTAAGTGCTGGAATCCTAACCCCATTAGTAACTCCAGACCTTGGTGGGGTAAAGGTCACAAGGAGGTTTCATATTTATGGATTAACGTTTGGATTCCTTTTTATTTTTTTTTTAAACTCTTTGCCCAGAACTCTTGTACCTGTCCCATAATGCTCTTCGAGAGCTTGGATTAAAGTGATCTTTCATTTCCCAAAGTACCTTAACACCAATGAGAATTATGTTGTAGAAATAATACAAAACACAGTGGTTGCAGGATTTTAGAATCCTGAGAGCACAGGGGAGGTGGGGTAGGACTCCACAGACAAAAGCAAGAGATACTCCACCAGAATCCCAAAGACTAAAAATTTATTTATTTTTTTTATATATAAGGTTTTGGGGCCTGAGTACCATTAATCTACATACTTAGCCCTTGGAAGCAAACTTCAGATAGCATGTGCTCATCAGATTTCCTTTGTGAGTATGTGTGTGTCTTTGTTCTGGGTTTGCATGTGTGTACATGCATGTGGAAGCCAGCGGCTGACATCCAGTGTCCTCCCCAGTCAATCTGCTCTTTCTGCTTGGGGACGTGGTCTCTCCCTGGACTGGAGCTTTCTGATTCAGCTGGACTCTCTGGCACTCTCCTCACCACTAGGTTTCTAGGTGTAAGCCTGGCATTTCAAACGTGCTTCTGGAGATGAAATTAGGTTCTCTTGATGGCACAGCACGTCCTTGATCCACTGAACCATCTCACCAGTGAGCCTTGGATTCTTACACTCAGATTTCCCATCGGTAAAAGACAGTTACTTGGAAACACGTGATGAGAGGTCTCACCAGCATCAGCCCAGAGACGTGTGTGTGTGTGTGTGTGTGTGTGTGTGTGTGATGCATTGCCAGAAGAGTCCAGCAGGGGGCATCAGATCTTTTGGAGTTTGAGTGATAGGAAGTTGTGAACAGCCTGACAGGTTCTGGGAACCAAACTCTGAAGGGCCCTCTGCAAGAAGAGATTTTTGCACTCTTAAGTGCTGAGCCACTTTTCCAGCCTGGCATTTAAAATTCTTAGGACTGCATTTTCCTGTCTTCTTTTTCCAAATTCCTGCAGAAGCTAAGAGGTGTTCATCCTATGCTCATCTGAGAGAAAGCCAGCAGTTAGGATCGGCAAGCTCATGAAACATGGGGCTGTTTCCTACTTTAACTCTCTGGATTTCAGCTAGATATACATGGCCACAGCCTCTCTCCACTGGATACTGTGTGCGGAGAGGTCGCAGCTTTGCAGCTGACTATTGTATAAAGATACTCAGGTAGAGACTGGACCTGAGGGAAACTGAGGAATGATAACCAAGGGTAACTAAACTCTTTGTCGGGGTATGCATGGAGTATATGCACACGCGTGTGCAGATGCATATATGCATACGTTGATGCCAAGCATCCTGATTGGTCACTTCACACCTGATTCCTTTAAGATAGGATCTCTGGCTCAACTACAGCTGTTCTGGTTAGATTGGCTGGTGGCAAAGTACCCACAACACCCTCTTGTCTTGACTCCCCACAGTTTAGATCCAGGTACCTCCCTGTCTCCTAGTTCACAAGCCCAGTACTGGGATTACAGGCATGCAGTCAAGCCCAGCTTTTCCAGGGCAGCTGACTGTGCAATAAGTCATGTGTCTGCAGTAAGTACTCTTGCATGCTGGGCCATCTCTTCTGAGCAACCCCACCCCAGGTAACATTTGATAGCAAATATTAGGTAAAGACAAACCAACGACATCCCCCCACCCCCCACCAAACTTTCTGTTATGGTGTTTTTGATGTATCTGAAAACAACCCATAGCTCAGACTATTTCATTTCAAACCTCACATTATCCAGTGTGGTGTGGAAAGACACGACGAATTTGGCATTACCATCAGAGAGGTCGGCCACAGAGGGCAAAGAGATGGCACGGACTGTTCCAGCCAAACACAACACAAAGCAAGCAGCACACAGAGGCGCCTCTGCCCGCCGGTCGCCTTCCGTGAGCTGGCTCATTTACTGTCCACTTCGGTATGAAGCACAGCTCACTGGAAGGCATGCAAGATTTCTTTAATAACTCTCAGCACTAATTTAATTCTACTTAAACACACATATTCCACTGAATGCCACATGCTTTCCAGCATGATTTTTATGTGTAAATCATCATAATATGTTTTCAGCTCATTAGGTAAAAGGAAGCATGAACTAAAACCTATTTAATCAATGAGCTATCACCTTTAAACTGCCACAAGGTCATAAAAAAGATAATTTCAAAGCGGCAAGTTTCTTAATTGTAATCAACAACAATCTAATGATGGGAGAAAATAAGTCCTAATGGTGGCAATAAAGTGACACACACTGTCTCTAAAGGCGCCGCTTCCTCTCTGGGTGAAGGGTCACCTCCCGAATCTGGACTCCCAGGTACTTACTCGCGATGGCACACTAATCCCAGATTGTGGGTCACAGTGGAGCCTCAGCTCCGGCACACACCTGCGAAGCAATGACGTAGCTACCCCTGTTTCCGTGACATTGATCCTTGCATGGGCAAACACACCTTTCACGCGTATATCGAGTGAGAATAAAAATGTGCTATTTTACTGAGTCATTATCACACACACACACACACACACACGATCCTCTTAGAACACACAGGCTTAAAGGCACAGACAATGCATGAAGTGAGCTCCTTTGTGAACACAGACTGAATTGCTAGGAACTGAGAATGCTCTAAGTCAGTAGGAATGCTGTCCATGGAGCACATAGTTATTAAAGTTCTTTGGTGCTGAAAGTTTGGAGGCAGGACAGACATTCCCTGGTCATTGAGTAGGTTCAGAAAGCCCACATTGGGAGACCCAGTTGAGCCGCGTTCTCCTACTCTGTAGCCCGTTTCCCGTTCAGGAGCTGTGAATACCAATCTGAGGGAGACATGTCTTCTTACCACTGAGACCTCACAAATAGTTAGAACATGGGGTGCAGTCGACTGCACATTTTAGGATAATTATGCTTATTTTAAACGGCATCAATTTTAAATAGAAATATTTTAAAATAAACATACCCAGAATGCACTGCATTTCACACAGGAAAGGCGATTCAGTGTGTGGATGAGCTGCTACTGTAATGGCCACTTGCCGATCCTTCCAAAGAGGACCGAGATTTAAAATGTGATATTGTCCATATGTTCTAAGGAGGGGCAAAAGGGTTGTACTTTTTCATGATTCTCCAATAACTCCTGAACACTGATGCCTTCCCAAACATCTCCTTAGAAATATGTTGTCAAAACTAAAAAAGTTTAACAAAATTTGACAAGTTGAAAAAAACAAGGAAACAAACAACAAAAAAAACCATCAAACAACGAATTACAAATAAACACATTTACTAATGTTTTTAAGATAAAGATATTCAGAGATACCTGTGTATACAAATATATACATACACATGTGCACACATGTATACATTCACACACACAAATAAACAGACATGAATGTACATACATACACATACCACATGCACACACACATGCACACACATAAGCACACACTATAAGAAGAATAAAAACAGACTCATCCAAGCAATAAAAGAATATAAATAATGAGTTTTCAAAAGACAAAACTGCCCAAACATTCAGAATTACAGCTGAGCCTCTGTTTTAAAATAAAGTGTCCCATAGTCACTTAGCTCTAGGCTTCCTGTACAAGATCAGAAAGCTGACAGCAGTTTTCAAACTCACCCGCTGGACGTATTTCAACAGACACAGGGTCACGAGGATGCTGCTTCGGCTGTTGGAAGCATTCACTTGGACCGTGTAGTGTGAGCAAAAAACCAAGTCGTGAACCAGCATCCGGAGATGTTTCCCTTCACTGCTGAGGATGGTTTTTGTGCCACTGAGGAGGGTGTAGTTACCACCTCCTGGTTGAAGAGGAAAATTCCACTTAATGAGTATTTTCTTTGCTTACTTGAGTATTTTCTTGGGTTGATGAAGATGTAGTGCCAAGCTGAATGATCACAGCAGCACCTGTGAGACATTGCCTGTGTCCCAGTTAGTGTCTACACTCACTTCACTACGCTATGGATAAAATGCAGGCTGTGTGAGTAGCTACAGATCATGGACATTAAACTGCCCTGACAGGCAAAGACAATATGACCTTATATAACAAGCACCATGCACACAAATAAAAACTATCCAGATATAAAAATGTATCCCTTGATTTTTTATTTTTCATAATCCTTGAGTTTTCATTAATATACATAGAGAAGGAAGTGATGTCTCCCAATGAAATGGTTCTGACTCTAGATAGCACACTCTGACATACGCCATCTTCTGCTCACCCTGCTTGAGTGTTAGCCTGGCCCCTTTCTAGTCCATGTCTCCTTAAACTGGGATTGGTCAGAATAGCATAAAATAGTTGCTGTTGGTGGACTGCCAGATGTGTCCATTTTGACTGGAACATCTGTATCCATCTTTCTTAGCAGATGCAGAAGCCACCTGGTTGCATAAAGCAATCGCTCCCCATGTGCCCTCATCATGTCCCACCATCTCCATCCTTTCACATCTCTGGTGAGCCCACACCACATCCCTGTCTGTGTAGGACATAGAGAAATGCTGCACCCTGGATATAATGGCTCCTCTTTTTGGAAACCCTGCATACATACTAATAGTTGTTGTGGGATAATGATTTTGTACACTATAAAGATTTGTCACTCATATTGGTTTAATAAAACACTGATTGGCCAGGAAACAGGCAGGAAGTATGGGTGGGGCAACCAGACTAAGAGGATTCTGGAAGAGGAAGGCAGAGGGTCAGTCACCAGTCAGACAGAGAGGAAGCAAGATGAGAATGCCTCACTGAGGAAAGGTACCAAATCATATAGCTAAACATAGGCAAGAATTATGAGTTAACTTAAATTGTAAGAGTTAGTTAATAATAAGCCTGAACTAATAGGTCAGACAGCCTATTACCTCAGCCTCTGTGTGTTTTTTTGGGAGTAAATGACTGTGGGACTGGGTGGGACAGAAACTTCTGTCTACAAACATTCATGGTAAAACAGAGAGCCGAGGAAGAGCTAAAAATTAGAGTTAAAATGAGAACAAAGTTTAAAGTTATGACATATACTTCAAAAGATATACTTTTAAAGTATACATGGGGGAGACATTGTTTTTATTTTTTGTCAATATAGGAATGTGTTAGTACTCTTTAAAACACAAGGCAAAGAACTATTTAAAGATCATCAATTAGTCAATCAGGCTGCCTTCCTTTGTCAAAATATTTCCTGTTATACATTTATTTCACCAGTTTTGAAAAAATGAGTAAAAGCCACCAGGATACTGGATATAGAGGGGGAAACAAGTGTATTTGCCAGACCTATCAATAACAGCATAGTGTCTGATTAAAAAATCCAAAAGATAGCCACTTGATATAAGCAATCTTATATTGTAAAGAAATTTGAATGCCTAAACTATCTGTAGAAATATATCCTCACAGATCAGCAGGAAAAGTACAAAGAATGCCTGCTGACTTTTGGCAAGCCCTGGGTTAGAACCTGTCCTCCTGCCCTTTGAGCAATGGGCCCTCTTCCAGAACGCTTAATGTTCCTGAGTGTCTAGCTCTCCATCTCTGAGCTCGAGCTCATGCACAGAGATCTCATACAGAGCCACCATGAAAGCCAGCAAGGTCTCACTTTCCTGCAGTCAGTGTGAAATATCTGCTCAAAACCACACGCTACTGGAGTTACTTGGGCTTCTTAGGATAAGAACATAAAGCTGAGCAGTGTGCATTGCATGTGTGGCCCGGCAATGTATATAGTTTGATTAGCTGCCGTGTGAACACATCTACCCACTCTCTCATTACAATGAACGAAATAGTAAGGACTTCTGCTGATTTTTTTTCTTGCTATGATCCATACAAATTATATATGCAAGACAAATATTGAGCATTGGCAAGTGGTTAAGGTATAAGCATCTGGCATTTTGTTTTCTTGGTGATCACTAACTATGTCTTAATCATCAAGATCCTTTGTTGCTCATTTAAGTGATGAACACAAATCTGACCATGTCATGATGTTGTCCTAGAACCAGCAGGAGTCTTATAGTTGGTTAGGATGTGGTCATTTTGTGAAATGTGGGTGGGGTAGATAAAACTAGACATATACATAGGCTATATTTATAATAATTTCAGGCTGAAGGAAGTAGCTGAAAATTTTATTTTGACAAAGCATACACAATTAAGTATTTTCTGTGGCCACAAGAATCTCAAATAATTTACATTTTGGTCTTGAGATTGATGTAGGCAAAGGGATGGTTATTCCAAAGAAAATAAACAGGGTTCATTGACTAGAACACTGAAAAGCATAATTGCTATTTGTTTTCAATAAAGAAATATTCTAAGTTTACAGGGTGACATCAAGTCCAAAATGGGAATAGAAACTTTATCTTGACACCTGTGCAATGCATGCCCACAGTGTTCAAGGCAGCTTTTAAGGGTTCATTCAGTTTCATTCTGAGTGATGCTATTTTAGCGTTTGGAGGTTCTTTATGGCTAGCTTTGTGACTTGATTTGACTGACGATTGCTGAGTGTCAACTGTGTGTAAGAAGCCTTTGCTGTACATGAGATGACACCCAAATGCATAAAATGTGGCACCTGCCCCCGAGAAGTCTACTGAGAAAGGCCACAGGTCCTTTCTGATCCTTGTCTAAGCATAATCACATGATCATATTGGCATATCTCCAGGTCTTGGGATGCCCAGTTCTCTTTAGAAGCATTTTTACTTATGGCTCAAATGACCATTGCTGATGTTACACGCTTAGCTGTAAAATCCCAAAACCAGGTCACCTTACCCTACACAGACATAGGCAGTCGCTCATCTGGCAAGGAAGTTGTATCATTTGTGCATCTTATAAAAGATTGAAAATTGTAAAACACCAAAAAAATTCTATAATTATGTCACAAGAGCCCAAGTTTACCTATTTCTATCCAGTCATGAACACAGGGGACATACATATTCAAAATACTGGTGGGGTGTCATTCTTTCATCTGGTTTGCTTGTTTGTATTGGAAGCAATTTTTGATCCATAAACCAGACTCTCTCCTCTGTCTTTCTCTGAAAATGGCGTGGCAGAGAGAAATATATTAAGTACCACTTTATTCCAAGTTTGCCATATAACGACATTAATACATGGTAATTATACAATTAGTTGTAATGCTAGTTTCTAGCTATAGAACAATGATTACTGAGTAATTATAAGAAGTATATAATTACTCAATAATTATGAGAAGGAAGCAATTATATAACCATTTTGCTCAGCTCAAAAAAACGAACACGTGTATCTTCAGGAGCCATGCAGATGAATGAGTGTGGTCTACTCTCAAGCTTCCACAAACACATGGCTCAGTTCACACTTCCTGGAGAGAGAGTCAGGATTTCTACTCTCTGTGAAATTCAAACCCCTTCGGATTTAGAACCGAGTGTTGATGTGGGAGTGTCATATATCAATCTGTTGATTTCATTGGTTAAGCAATAAAGAAACTGCTTGGCCCTCATAGGTTAAAACATAGGTGGGAGGAGTAAACAGATCAGAAGGCTGGGAGAAAGAAGCTGAGTCAGGAGTCGCCATGATTCTTCCACTCCAGGCAGATGGAGGTTAAGATCATTCCTGGTAAGCCAGCTCATGGGCTACAGCAGATTATTAGAAGTGGGCTAGTCTAGGTGTGAGAGCAAGCCTAGAAGAGGCTAGATAGAAATGGGCCAAGTGGTCTTTAAAAGAATACAGTTTCCGTGTAATTATTTCAGGTAAAGCTAGCCGTGGGGGCGGCTGGGTGCCGGGGACACAGCCCCGCCGCTCCTATTTCAACAGAGTGTGGATCCACAGGTCAAAGCGCTTTATCCAACCCATCACCTGGCCCCCACTTCGCTCTCAGCTTGATGACTTTGGGCTCTTAGACACAGGGAACAGTTTGTTAAAATGCACAGCCCGGGCTGTGCCTCTGCGCTGAGCTGCACCTTCCCATTTCCCTCTGCCTGGCCATAATGTTCCGTGGGCGGGAAAGGTGCGACCATATTGCTTCAGTCTCAAAAGCGAAGCTAAGGAAGTCTGAGGTGATAAGCACCTTCTGTTACAGGTGTCCCTTCCTGTTTGTCAGACTTGGCCCATACTGTGTGGGAGTGACAGTGGGTGTCACAGGTCCCTTCAGGTTTCTGGGTTTGGGAACCACAGCTCACCAGGCTCTGAACTTCAGTCATGGCGATGTTTAGCAGTGCCTCTCCAATCCATGCTTGACGCGAGGTACTAGGCTTCAAGCCCAACGAGGGTATACTAGAATGTGCTTTTGCTAGCAATAATCCAGGGCTTGTCCCCACTGAAGTCACTTAGGGCCATCTCATGAAAATGCACACACATGAGTTGCACCCAAACCTACTTAGTGAGGGTACTAGCGCAGGAGCCAGAAATCACTGAATGATTAGTTCCTCAACATGTTGAAGTCTGAGAGCTACCGGCTGAATGATTTGTTTGCAGTTATGCTATTTTTAAAAATTTGTTTATGTGTATGCCTGTTTTGCTTGTATTTTATCTGTGTACCATATATGTGCCTGATGTCCACAGAGGTCAGAAGAAGGCACTGGATTCTGGTCCTTGAGTTATAGATAACCATAAACCACCAAATGGGTGCTGGAAATGGAACCTGGGTCCTCTACAAGAGCAGGAGATGCTCTACAGGCTGAGACATCTCTCCAGCCCAGCTGTTAGGCTGCTCTTGGGGGTAATGATCACAAGTCATCTCATTTGCTTCCAAACATAACTGGATTTCTTACTGGTAAAGCTTTAGACTCTGGCTGTGGGCTGTAAAATGTTTACTCTGTTAGTACATTAGCCATTTAGAGAGGGTATAATGCAAACAAACAAGAGCGATCT